TTCCTCATTAAGTGGCATGTTGTTCAGTCTCCATGTTATGGTCAGTCTCCTTGTTTTCTTTTCATAGTTGATTTATAGTTTGGTGCCTTTATGGTCAGAGAAGATACTTAGTATGATTTCATTCTTCATGTACTTGTTGATGTTTGTCTTTTCACCTAGCATGTGGTTAATCCTGGGAAATATCCAAGTGCATTTGAGAAAAACGTGTGTTCAGTTTTTTATGTATCTATAAATGCATTGTTGTATAGCTATCTGTCTGTTAGGTAGTCACAGTATACTGCTCTAATTACATATACTAAATTTCTGTAAGACAACTAACTTAACCATTTCTTATTGAAGTGCTTAGTAGTTGTTAGTCTTTATTTATAAGTAATGTGGTGGGGTTTTTTTTTAAGATTTATTTATTTATTTATACAAGCACTGGGTACAGTCAGAAGTGCGGGAGGGTGAGAGAATTCACCAGAGACAGAGCGGAGAGCAGAGCAGGCAGACTGACAAAGTACACTGCTGAGGGGAGCAGCGGGCAGCAGGAGAGGTCTGCGGTGCCATGTGGGACCCTCCTCCGGTGGCCGTGGATTGAACCGGTGCTGCAGAGGCTGCAGGCAGCTTCGCAGCCCAGCTCTCAACCAGGGGAGGCCCTATAAGTAATGTGTTTATATTACTATTTCTTAATTTATCAACTTAGTGACTTTATAATATATAGTATATAATGTATACTGGAACTATAGATTTTTATTTATGGAGAAGGTTTATAATTTAAACTTTTAAAAAATGTATTTTAGGGTGAAATAATTGTAGATACTAGGAAGTTGCATGAACGGTACAGAAAGGTTAAGTGTATCCTTTACCCAGTTTATTTCAATGATTAATTTTACATAACAGCAAAACCAGGAAAGTGACATTGACTCAATGTATATGTATCTCTTTCATTTTATTACTCAGAGACTTATGTAATTACCACTTCAATCAAGATAAGTAATTTTTCACCACCACAGGATCTCTTTCCTGCTAATCCTTTATGCTCACACTCATCCCTCATCCAACAACCCTTAACCACTAACAACCACTAATTTGCTTTCCATTTCTATAAATTTGTCACTGAAAACATTGTGAAATGGGACTATAGAGTATAAAAATTCTCTTCGTTTTCTAAGGGTTTTCAATCATGAATAGGAATTGAGCTTTGTTAAATGTTTTTTTCGGCAGTAGTTGGTATGATCATGTGATTTTCTTCTTTAGTTGGGTGTTTTTTTTTTTTTTAAAGATTTATTCATTTATTTATTTATTTATTTATTTATTTATTTATTTATTTATTTATTTATTTATGCAAGCACCGGATACACAGTCAGAAGCCACGGGAGAGTGAGAGAATTCACCAGAGCCAGAGCAGGGAACAGAACAGGCAGACTGACGAAATACACTGCTGAGGGGAGCAGCAGGCGGGCAGGAGAGGTCTGCCATGCCATGTGGGAACCTCTCCAGTGGCCGGGGATCAAACCGGCACTGCAGAGGCTGCAGGCAGCTTCGCAGCCCAGCGCTTAACTGCTGCGCCACCAGGGGAGACCCTGTTTTTGGTTTTTGAATACCAAATCAGTGTTGCATTTTTGGAATAAAATCCTGTTTTGTCAAGGTGTAGAATTCTTTTTATATATTTCCAAATACTATTTACTAATATTTTGTGAAGGATTTTTTTTTTTTTAAAGATTTATTTTTATTTATTTATACAAGCACTGGGTACAGTCAGAAGCGCGGGAGGGTGAGAGAATTCACCAGAGCCAGAGCGGGGAGCAGAGCAGGCAGAAGGACCGAAGTACACTGCTGAGGGGAGCAGCGGGCGGCAGGAGAGGTCTGCGCGCCATGTGGGACCCTCCTCCGGTGGCCGGGGAGCAGCCGGGGTTTGAACTGGCGCTTCAGAGGCCGCGGGCAGCTTCGCAACCCAGCGCTCAACCGCTGCGCCACCGGGGAGGCCCATTGTGAAGGATTTTTTTCAGCTATATTCATGAGGGGTGTTGGCCTTCAGTTTTCTCTTTTTTGTATTATCTTTGTGTAATTTTGGTTATGAGGGTAATACTGGTCTTATACAATGTGTTGGTAAGTTTCCTTCCTTTCCTATTTTCTGGAATATTGAAGTGATGGTAATTCTTTTTTTTTTTTAATTTTAAAAATTTATAGATTGACCATTGGTTTACAATATCATGTAATATTTAACAGTATAGATTCACAACTCAATGAATGTACCTACAAGCAAAGTTCTAGTGCCATTCACTGATATAAAATGAGCCCTCTACTTATTCCTTCCACCTCTCTGGTAATCCCCATTTTGTTCTCAGAGTCTAAAAGTTATTTCAGTTGTGTTTCATTAGTTCATTTGCTTTGTCAATTTTTACATTATTACTTAGATTAAATTCTTGATACAGTACAGAATTCTTGTGATTTTTCCAGCATTTTATAATGCATAATTTTTCTGTATATTAATTCTCATTTTATCTTCTCCACTAGACTGTAAGTTCGTCAATAGAAGGTATTGTCATACTTACTCATCTCATTCTTTGCACTAAGAATTAGATAATTTACAAGTATTTGTTAAGCAAACAATCAGAATGTCTAATTGAGTGTTTGTTAAATATCTCCAAGTTTCCTCAATCTTAGATTATTTCTGTGTGAAAAGGATATTTCATCAATAGACTGGAGTAGGTAATTTCCTTAACCCTGAAACATGTGGAATATCTGTGTTGGACACCTCCTTTAAAAATTCCTAAACCCAGTCACTTTAAACAAATGGCCTTTTGGTCACTGATAAGTAGATGACAGAAGGAGTGCTTGAGATTCATAAATGTTGAATGGATATTGTTCTCCACTGCAGGGAATCTTGTCAGTCTCTCTCTCTCTCTCTCTCTTTCTCTCTCTCTCTCTCTCTCTCTCTCTCTCTCTCTCTCTCTCTGGCATCTCCAATATTTGTGGCATTAAAGAAGAGTGGAAGCAATCTAAGTGACAGAGTGCCTGGGATGCTCCAATACCAAGTCCTATTAGGGTGCAGGAGAGGGGGTTCTTGCCTTTTCTTGTCCATAGTTTCTTTCATGTAATGTCATTGATTGGTTAAATAGGTGAGGCAGCATTGATATTCATATATGTAATTTATTACCTGTATCCATGCATCAGATTTGCAATACTCTACAAGACTTGAGTTTTCCCATTGTGATGCAATTCTTAGCCTGGAATATAAATTCTTTTCAAAACTACCAGTTAGATTTTCCTCTACAGTAGAGCTAACCATTGGTTCTAAACTTCAATAGACATAAGAATCACCTGGGGGCCTCCCCAGTGGCACAGTGGTTGAGCGCGGGGTTGGGGAGCTGCCCGCAGCCTCTACAGCACCGGTTCGATCCCCGGCCGCTGGGCAAGGGTCCCACATGGCACGCAGACATCTCCTGCCGCCTGCTGCTCCCCTCAGCTGTGTACTTCATCAGTCTGTCTGTTCTGCTCCCTGCTATGGCTCTGGTGAATTCTCTCACCCTCCCTTGCTTCTGACTGTACCCAGTGCCTGTATAAATAAATGAATAAATCTTTTTTTTTTTTTTAAAAAAAAAAGAATCACCTGGGGTGTATGTTAAAACCAGATTCCAGGACTTTACCTGCAGTTTCTGTTTCTGTAGATCTGGGGATGTGACTGAGAATTTAATTTTCTAAAAATCTCTCAGCTGCTGCTGCTGCTGCTGCTGGTGGTGGTTCATGAACCACTCTTTGAATAGAAAAGAACTAAACCATGCTTCCAATTTCTGTTTACTTGAGTTACATACAAGCTTTCTTTTCATAATGCTGACATCAGATAGGGGAATATGCACAATACACCTTTACCACGATGTTCAACACTTTTCAGTCAGCATCTTCTGGGATCCCCCAATCTTAGGAAAAATGACTTAATAATTTTGCCTGCTTTCTTATTCTCTTCAGGTATGGTTTACCTGAAATTTTTCTTGCATTTTCTGCCTTGGTGTAGCTACTAACTCTTCTTCTAGCTATGTAACTGATTGCCTTTGTGATTCCCTTCGGCCAATACTCCCACTCATCATTCCTCCACATTTTGTATGTATCCCTTAAAAATATTTTATACCCTATAAAATTCAGTTTGGGATCATATCCTGTCTTTGTTGCTTTAGTGCTCTTTTTCTTCAGATTCAGTTGTTGCCACAATACACTGCCATCAGGAAACAAATGGTACCCTTTATACTGTAAATCAACTTACAAAACAACATACAAGTCACTTCTGTATCCTCTTCATCAGGCTCAACTGCAGTGTGTAGAAGCACTTATCTTTTGACCTCCTTTCCTTGGTGATTGGTTTGATCTATTCACTATTATTTCCCAACATATTTTTTCAATTTTTTTAAATTGAGGTAATTTACATTGAGAAACATTCCCTTTTCAGTATATAGTTCGATGAGTTTAACAAGTACATACTATCATGTAACCACCACCGTGTTCAAGATATGGAACAGTGCTATCGCCCCAAAATGCTCCCTCATGCTCCCTTGCTCTGCTCTTCTACCCCTACTCCTGTTCCTGTAATGTTGTTTTTCCAGAATGTGAAATTAAAATTTAAATAGGAATGTTTTATCATATTTAAACATTAATTTAGTCCTTGTATTTAAGAAATTCTCAAAAATAAGAATAGGTAAATTTTATGCCAAATATATTCACCTGCCCTTGTAAGAAATGCTTTGCTTTGCATTTTAAAATGGGATGAATATGCAGTGTGGCATTTCATTATATTCTGGTTTCAGAAGAGTACTTATTTCTCCAAAATCTTCCTTTCTCTTTTTATTTTAAAGGAAAATAATTAAAAATGGCTTCTATATACATTCAGATGTTAAAAAATTTGTTCATTTAATTTATTCTAATTAGATGAAAGTTAAGTCAGGAAATATGTGTGTGTGTGTGTGTGTGTGTGTGTGTGTAAAGGTAGAAAAGCTGACATTTCTTCTTGTCTTCCTTTTATACAGGTGTTTGCTTCAGAATGGTAAGTCAATACAATCTGTTCATTACTTTTTGCCAGTTTTCCTCCAGTTATTTCTGATCACAGAGATACAGCAGTTATCTACTTAGTGTTAGTCTACTGCTTTTTGGCTGTCCTAACAAGCAAATGGAGAAATATTTGTATTTCTTCGAAATCACTGTTTTTTTTTAATTAAAACTGTTTTTATAAAATAAGGAAAGCATTTCAGCCTTCCCAGTTTTCTATAAATGAATTTTAAAAAGTACCTCTTTCTTAATATCCAATTAAACATTACCTACATAATAGGAATACAAGTGGGACCTTTCACTTGTTTCTGGATGGAGGAAATCCTCTAGGCAATGGAACACTCTCGAATTGCAAGGTGAAAAATGTTCATTTTGCATATGGAAGTGGTTCCCAGGTTTTTAGAAGTCGAAAATCCATGTTGTCTTTTATATTTTTCTTTTAAAATATATATGCCTTTCCTAAGGACAGGCATATATATTTTCACCGTCTATTTGAGTTGGCAGTCCCAAGATTATGTCTATGTTTTTAACATGCTCCCACCAGTAAAGTCTCTGCATTATGAGATAGTCCTATCCCCTACAGATTGTGTCCTTTTTCTTTATTATCTGTGAGAACTTGAGTTATTTTCAGAATCAGTTCTTACCTCATCTTGGTTTATATTGTTTCATCTAGTTGGGGATGTGGAGTGTGAGTATCTTGGGCACCCTGGCCTCAGACAGAAGAGCATGTTTTAAAAAAGTTCTAATACACTGGACCCATAGAATTTTAATAGAATATAGTTAAAATAATTAAAAATCAAAATGTTGCTAGTTTTTATTTGACTGTAGTAAAACTGAATTTGGAACCAGGAAAAGAAATGTTTAAAAGTTTATCAATAATAATAGCAGAAATAATTTACCCATAAACAAATATAGCATTTGTATGACAAGTCCAGAGTCCACAAAAAAATATCAAAATCCTTTAATGAAGTACTTTATATTGATCAAAACTGGATATTTTTCTTCAGTATTGAGAATCTTGGTGTGATTTTCATTTGAAACCCAGATTAACAATGCAATAGCAGGCATGAGAGCTATGTAACTGAATTTTATGGAGCTCATGGAAAACACATGGAAATTGTTTTTTGAAGTAGTTCTTATTCCCAGTTTATTTTCTCAGTTTATTGCTTGTGTTTACTGGAAGTAGAACTTAACAAATAATATCATTAATGAAGGTTCTTATAAATAGTTATTATTATAGCATATTTTGAATGTTAGAATCAATTATGAATTCAGACTTTTGATGCTGGACTTGGTCTCTTGTTTTCTCTGAAACCAGTACACAGAAGGCGAGGCAAAGAAGATAGGCGTGGTCGGCTGGGTGATGAACACCAGCAAAGGCACTGTGACAGGCCAAGTCCAAGGCCCGGAAGAGAAAGTCAATTCCATGTAAGAAGTAGGACTATTAACACCATTCATGCAATCTATACACTTATTTTAATGTTTAATTGGAATATAAGAATAGTGTTAATGGGGCAAATTCAGTTTGTAGATTATAACTAAACTGACATAATTTTTTTTTAATTTTTAAAATTTTTTTTTAATTTAAATTTTATTTTTATATTCCCCATACCATCACAACCCCCTTATTTTGACACCAAGCCCTCCTTTCCCCGCCCCCCATACCCCATAGAGTGTCTCTGGTTCATAGTTGTTTGTCAATTTTGATATTTTCTTTCTTATAGTTATTCTTTTTCCTGGTCCCTTATTTAAGTTTTCTAGATTCCTGCTATGAGTGAGACCATCCAGTATTTTTCTTTTTCTTCCTGGCTTATTTCGCTGAGCATGATCCCTTCCAGCTCCATCCAAGTTGCTGCAAATTGCATGTGTTTATCTTTTTTGAATGCTGAGTAATATTCCGTGGTGTATATGTACCACATCTTCTTGATCCAGTCATCTATTTTTGGGCATTTGGGTTGTTTCCAAAGCTTAGCTATTGTAAACAGTGCTGCTATAAACATAGGGGTGCAGGTGCTTTTTGGAATTGATGTTTCTGTGTCCTTTGGGTAAATACCTAGGAGTGGAATTGCTGGATCATATGGAAGCTCTATGTTTAGTAGGTCAAGAAATCTCTACACAGCTCTCTATAGTGGTTGGACTAGTTTAAACTGACATAATTTAGGTAGACGGTCGAAGATATCCTCAGAGTTGGGAGTGGAATTTCTATATTAGGAATGGATCTTCCTAATGGAAAAGCCCTCAGAAAGAATAGCAGCACCACTCTCCTTCTTTGTGAGTTGGTTATTGAGCCTTCTTTCATGGAGTCAATAAGTTTTGTTTTTAAGTTATAGTACAGATTTCTTCTGCTAGCTAAAAGTAGAATGTTTCTACTTGGTATGATTTGGCAGTATGAGAAAGCTCAAATATTTTTCATATAAATAAATGGTAATTCTATGGGTGTGTTGGTGGTGGGTGTCATATGAAGAGGTATAAACCTGTACCTCTCAATAATATACAGTGTTGTAAATCAATGTTACCTCAAAAATTTTTTTAAAGAACAATTAAGTTACAGTAATAGCACTCCCTGCCAAATCATATTAAATAGGAATTTCTACATTGGTTAGCAGGGAAAACCTATTTACATTTATTAGAAAGTACTGATATATATTTGGAATAAATTTATATCCTACTATGTTTTTTCTGCTTCTTTTTATTAGTTCTTTGTTCACCTCTTTCATTTTAATTTTGATTGACTTTCATTATTCCACTTTTTTCCTCTATTAGTTAAGCAGTTATATATATTTTTAAAAAGATTTATTTATTTATGCATACAAGAACTGCAGTATAGGCCAGAGATGTAGGGGGTGAGAGGATTCACCAGAGACAGAGTGGGAACAGAATAGGCAGACTGACTGAAATACACTGCTGAGGGGAGCAGCAGGCGAATCACGAGAGGTTTGCTGCACCATGTGGGTAGCTCCCTGGCCGGGGATCGAACTCGTGCTGCAGTGGCTTTGGCTAGCTTCATAGGTTGTGTCTTAACTCCTTGCGCCACCAGGGAGGCCTAGTTATATATTCTTTTGTTTCTTTTACTAGTGTTTTCCCTAGAGATACAAGACACAATTGTGACTGATCCTATTTGATATTCATTTATGCTTTTACTATATTTTCTAACAAAGCAAGATATGTAAGTATCCGTTAAGTCCATTTATCTCCCTATTTATTTAGATGGTATTAAATTTTTTAATTATTTATTTTAAATCTCACAACAATTATTACTATTTCTAAAAGCCAATATTTGGGTGGGGGAGGAATTTCAATATATTTGCCATCTTAAGTTGCTTTTTTTCCTTTTCGTACTTCTTTTCTGTATGGGAATATTTCCATTTTGCTAAAGGAATGTTCTGTGGTATCTCCCTTAATTTGGACCTACTAGTAAGGTGTTACTCCATTTTTGTTTGTCTCTATATGTTTTTATTTAACCTTCAATCTTGGAGAATACTGTGCTGTGTTTAGAAGTCTGACATGACAGTTATTTACTTAGTCTTTTAAGCCCTCTGTGGGTACCATTACAGTATTTGGGCATCCCTGGTTTTGTTGTGAAGTCTACTGCCAGTTTTACAGGTTGCTCTTTAAAGTAATTTAATGATATTGTCATGATTTTCTTTTGACAATGTTTTATTACAAGATTTTCAAGCATACAACTATGAAAACAGAACAGTGAACCCCATGTGTCTATTACCCAGTTTCAGTAATAATTTCTGACATTATTGTTTCACCTGTTCCTTCAATTTATCTTCAGTTTTGTTACTGTTAGAGTATCTAAAGCAAGTATCCTATATTATATTATTCATCTGTAAGTTAGGCTCAGCAATATGGAACTACTGATATTTGAAAAAAGTTGACCTACAAAGCAGTAATTTCATATTGCTTAACCTAATACTTTACCATTTATTTCCACAGAAATTCTTTGCTTATCAATAAAATTTTCTAAACTCCACAGCAGATCTGCCAAAGTGAATTTCATGACCTGTCAACTACACTCTCCCTAGGGGCTTTTCTTCCTCCCAGCTTGAGGCTAAGTCTGCCCCACAGCTCTCATTCTAGTGCTTTCTTCTGCCCCTTTCCTGGTGGTGGATTCCTGTTTCCTCAATCATGTTTTCCTCTGCCTTGATTTATTTCCTTGCTTTCTTTTTTTTTTTTTGAAAAATTTTTTAGAAGATTTATTTATTTATGCATGAAGAACTGGGGTACAGGCCAGAAGTGCAGGGGGGTGAGAGGATTCAGCAGAGACAGAGTGGGGAACAGAACAGGCAGACTGACTGAAATACACTGCTGAGGGGAGCAGCAGGCAAGATAGGAGAGGTCTGCTAAACCATGTGGGTAGCTCCCTGGCCAGGGATCAAACTCAAGCTGCAGTGGCTGCATCATAAGACACAACTGTCTTAACCACTTGTGCCACCAGGGAGGCAAATCTCTAGAAGCTTTTCCAAGGAATGGCACATGAGAGAGAAAGTTGTATCTTTACCTGCCTTCATTTGCTCTCACACTTGATTGATAGTTTGGTTATAAAATCCTGTGCCAAAAGTCATTTCTGACTCAGAATTTTGAATCCCTAATTCCATGATTTGCATTGTTGTTGAAAGATTTGATGTCGTTCTCATACAAATGATTGGGCATTATACGTCCTTATACCTTTTTTTTTTTTTTTTTTTTTAAATAGAGGCATGTTTTATTTATTTATTTATTCATTTGTTTGTTTTTGTTTATACATGCACTGGGTACAGTCAGAAGCGCGGGAGGGTGAGAGAATTCACCAGAGCCAGAGCGGGGAGCAGAGCAGGCAGAAGGACCGAGGTACACTGCTGAGGGGAGCAGCGGGCGGCAGGAGAGGTCTGCGCGCCATGTGGGACCCTCCTCCGGTGGCTGGGGAGCAGCCGGGGATCGAACCGGCGCTGCAGAGGCTGCTGGCAGCTTCGCAACCCAGCGCTCAACCGCTGTGCCACCGGGGAGGCCCCTTATACCTTTTTGAAAACTTTTTAGTTGTTCATTTTATCTCCTTTTCTGCATTTCCATAGTCATCTGTCTGTGCATGTTCTCACAGGAGAATTATCTTTCTTCCAAAATTTGTTTTCTTTTTTCCCTTTCTCCTCTTGGTCCTCCCATTTTGAAACTTCTTTATGAACCTGAACCTCCCTAATTTCCAAACTTTGTTACCTGGAAAATTGCCTCAGCTATGTCCTCTATCTTACTATTAATTTTCTGTTTGTCTCTGCTGCTATATTTTATTTCTACTTCCTAGCACTTTTTCCTTGTCTTTTCTTTTTAAATATCTCTGAACATATTGTATGTTTTCTTCTGTGATTTTTTTTTTGCATTTTTTGTTTCCTCTAAGTTTAGATCCTTTCTATTGCCCCATCTTGCCTTTCTTTTCTTTCTTTTCCTATTTGCTTCTCTCTTTATACTGCAAGTATTCCTTACAATCATATTTTCAGTGACTCATAAATATGAACAGCAGCCAAAAATAAACAGACCTTTGAGGAAATTTTCCAACATGTAGTAGTAGACTTGTTGGCTTGATCGAGAGTGGTAACTGGCTGAGAGTTGGCCTTTTTACTGGGGACCTTCTAAATAGTAAATATGTAGATCTTGTCTTCTGTACTCACTGGTGCCTCCAAATCTGCAGCTTTCTGTGGTTTCTATGAGGTGAGTGATTTGCTTCTCATGGTTTTGCTTCTGCAAGCACTTGAACTGTAGCAGCCCTTGCTTTTCTGTATAGTTACTCCTCTATCTGATTTCTTTCTAATTTATTGAAGTTTCTTATTCAAATTATAGGATTTATGAGGTAGGAATATTAGCAGCTGCAAACTAACAGAAAATCTTAGTTAAATTGGATAAGACAGTGAGGGGTTCATTTTTCTCAGTAACAGGAAATCAGCAGGTAGGTGGTTACTGGCCTTGATTTAGCACCAGCATTTCTAATTCTCCTGTTCTTTCTCTTGTGGCCAAAAAAGGAAAAGTGCAGCTGCTCATAATATCCACCCTGAAGGTAGGAAGAAAGCAAGAAGGGATGAGTGTGTTGCTTTCCCTGAACTTCCCCATGTCAACATCTGCTTGTGTTTCATTGGCTTGTATAGGGTCATATACTTCTCACTATAATGAAGGCTGAGAAAATTGGTGTGGCTTATTGATGCCCTGAACAAAATTGGTATTCTCTTGGCTGGCTAGAAGGGGAAGAGCATGGATATAGGTAGCAACGAATGATGCCTGTTACATCTTTCGTATTTTGATGCTATCATGTTAATGGGATTTCACATTAAGGAAATAAATGTGCCATGTTTAGCTGCACTGCAGACTAAGTGAGAAAATCCACATAAAACACTAAGCACAGTACCTGGCACATAATAAGTGATCTGTAACATGGCTATCGTTATGTGACCCATGCTACT